ATATATATATATATATATATATATATATATATATATGTATATATATATATATATATATATATGTATATGTGTGTGTGTATGTGTATATGTATGTGTGTGTGTATGTGTATATGTATGTGTATATATGTGTGTGTGTATGTGTATGTGTATGTGTGTGTGTGTGTGTGTGTGTGTGCGTGTGTGTGTATAAAACCTAGCTCAATTCTCTCATTTTGCAGATAAAGAAATTGAGGCTCAGAACAATAAAATGAAGTTCAAGGTGACATCACTGGTGGCAAAGCCAGTACTGAACTAGAATATAGTTCTCCTAATACTTAGTTCAACTGATACCAGGCTGTCTCCTCGTCCTTTCAACCCTAACCCTGAGCTGTATGATGACTTTCCTTAATCACTAAATCATTGCTATCATTTCCAGATGCCATGACTTCAGCATCCATCACCTCTTTCCTCATCTACTCACAGCATCTCCAATAAAATAATAATAATAACAATAACAATGGTGATAATGATGGTAATAACAACAACTAGCATTCATATTGCACCTACTATGTGCCAGTTACTGTTATCTCCTTTGATCTTCATTTATTTAGTATTATCTCATCATTAATAAGATACTTAATTAACACTGAATTAATGATTAATAACATTTAACTTAATTAATGAGATAATTTAATATTATCTCATTTGATTATATATACAATGCCTAGCACAAAACAGGTGCTTAATGATAGCATATTTCCCCTCTTTACCTTCTCCCTCTGCCAACATACTCTTGATTATATGCTGGGCTTTTATGGTTTTTTTATGCTATTCACAAGTAGGAGGGAATCCAAAAATAAATACAAATATAATAACATTAAAGAGATACAATTTGGAGTCATGTCTGGAGAGCCAGCCTTGAAGTCAGGAAGACCATAACTTAAGTCCTTCCTCTGACTCATCCTGGGTTCAGTACACCAAGCAACTAAAAACTAAAAATCATGGCTGAGTTGCTGATCTCAAAGGCAGAAAAAAAATTCAATTTGGAAGCTCCCCACACAAATGAAATCACAAGTCCAGACCTAACATTATTACTGCTATTACCACTAGTACTAGTGATAGTACTAGTACAACTAAGGGGTGCTAGGAATCAATATTCAGCAAAAGGGGTATTCAGAGTAACTTTGAGGTTTCCACAATTTACTCATAGACCCTAATCGAGTTTCTTCTCAATCCCTACTTGAGATATATCAGTATTTTTTTTTGCTTTTTGCTAAGTAATTGGGGTTAAGTGACAGGTCCAGGGTCACACAACTAGTACACGTTGTGTGTCTGAGACCAGATTTGAACACAGGTCCTCCTGACTTCAAGACCGGAGCTCTATCCACTGCACCACCTAGCTGCCCCAATATGTCAGTATTTTACAATACCATCTTGACTATTGGACAGCAACTGTCTATGATACCCTTGTGCACAACAGACTCCCTTGAGATGCCATGGACAAGTAAAATGCATAAATAATAATGTCAGCAGCACTGTTACCAGGGTATTTACGTGGCCTGAAAATGGGAAGGGAGTTGTTGTCTCTTAGACCAGAGTGATTTGGTTGATGTGTAATAATGATAATTATCAATAATAATAGGTATGGTGCTAAGTGCTTTACAAACATTATCTCATTTGATTCTCCTAACAACCCTGTGAGGTAGGTGCTATTATTATTCCCATTTTACAGATGAGCAAACTGAAGCAAACAGAGGTTAAGTGACTTGTCCTGGATTACACAGCTGGTAAGTGTCTGAGGCTACACTAGTTCTTTTGCTGATCCCCTCAGCTCCTATGGATTAAACACATTAACACAGATCATTTGGAGTCATGTCTAGAGAGCCAGCCTTGAAGTCAGGAAGACCTTAACTGAAGTCCTTCCTCTGACTCGTCCTGGGTTCAGTGCACCAGGCAACTAAAGATTAAAAATCGCGGCTAAGTTGCTGATCTGCAAAATTGAAACACGTTATTATCTCTATGCTGATGATTCTCAAATCTACCTCTCCTGCCCCAAATTCTCTGCTGAACTCCAATTTTGCATCTCCAATTTCATTTCAGATATCTCAAACTGGATGCCCTGTAGACATCTTAAACTCAACATGTCCAAAACTGAATTCATTCTGTTAACCCCCTAAGCCTTCCTTCCCTCCAAACTTCCTTACTGTAATGGAGGGTACCACCATCCTCCCAGTCCTCCAAGCTGGCAATGTAAGCATCATCCTCAACTCCTCACTATTTTCACCTCCCCATATACAATCTGTGGCCAAGTTCTGTCAATTTCACCTTTGCAACATCTCTCAAATATATTCCCTTCTCTCCTCGGATACTGCCATTACCCAAGTACCCTCATCACCTCATCACTTGAACTATTTATTGCAATAGCCTGCTAGTCAGTCTTCCTGCCTCAAGTCTTTCCTCACACCAATCTATCATCCATTCAGCTACCAAAATGATTTTCCTAGAGCAAAGGTCTCACTATGTCATACACAACCACTTCACTCAATAAACTATAGTGGCTCCCTACTCCCTCTATTACCAATACCCAATCCTTTGTTTGGCATTCAAAGTCCTTCACAACCAACTCACCACCACCACCTCATACACACACACCTTTCCAGTCTTCTTATACCCTATTCCCAACACATACTCTTTGACCCAATGAGACTGGTCTACTGGATGTTCCACAAACAAGACACTCCATTTCTCAGTATTTTATTTGACTGCCCCTCATGCCTGGAACGGTGCTCCCTACTCATCTCCATCTCTTGGCTTCCCTGGCTTCCTTCAAGTTCCAACTAAAATCTCACCTTCTACAGGAAGCCTTTCCCAATACCTTTCAATTCTAGTGCTTTCTCTCTTTTATCTCCTATTTATCCTATTTATAGTTTATTTGCACTTATTCATTTGCTTGTTATCTCTCCCATTAGACTGTGAGCTCCTTGAGGGCAGGGACTATCTTTTACTTGTTTATCTATTCTCAGCATTTAGTACAGCACCTGGCACATAGTACATACTTAATAAATGCTTATTAACTGACTGACTAGCTCACAGGATAACTTGGAGCCTAGAGCAGTAGTCACATCTGGAGAAACACAATATGTAAACCCATGAGCACTGAATTGAAGGAATATCTCAGAGGTTATCATGGCCAATCTTATGCCAGCCAATGATCAACAACCTACCAGCTCCAAAAAGTAACCTTCACACTTCCTAAACCAATAATAGGGCATAAACAAATTGGTATGTTTTCTTTTTGAAGAAAAAATAATGATACGTCATTAAAAACTGGGCAGCATCGTTAGCCATTATCTGATCCTTTTCATCAGGATGAATTAGGAGCAGGGAAAACCATGCTTACCTTCAGAGTTAAGCCAATCCTGCAGAAGTACTAAGTTCTCTACAATTAGCAGACAGTAGATGGCTTCCTATTCCTCAGCTCCACCTCTCTTGAAGAAGTCCTGAAATCTCATTAATCTTGAGGGTGTAATCATGATGAATTACTCAAACAGAATTACCTATCCTATTTGAAAACCCTGCCTCTTTCCTAAACTTAGGATATTTCACTAAGCTCTAGTCACCTGACCTTGGCATAATGGAGTCAACATTCCATAGGAACAGACAGAATATACTTAACTTAAAATGTGTTACTCTCTGGAGAGAATTAATAAAAACAATAAAACCATACATGGTTAAAAAAAAAAACATATTGACCATATGGCTGAGTACCCACTTCTGCTAGAACTAGGAAGCTCCCAGGCAGCACATGGGTTGTTCCATGGGCCATTTCGAACCCAGGAGCTCTAGAGAAGAAATAGTTTGGCATGTTAACTTGCCATGGCTATTCCTCCTATGAGCAGGCAAAGAAGGTTCAACAGTACAACAGTTTCCAGCTGATGTCCATTGCAAGCCATCCAATGATGCTAGTCATTAGATGAGGACTCAGAATCCTAGCGCCTGGTCTTGGTTGATCCCAGAGACCAAGGGCATGGACTCCAGACTGAATTCAGGATGCAGGTCATACTCCCAGGGCTTCTGCGTCCAGTTTCCTGTTGCTGATAGAGATCTCCAACTGCCTCTCCCCACAGTCAGTTCATCATTTAGGGAACAAGGAAAATGGATTCAATGCCATGACCCAAAAAGGTAAGCCTTCCATAAAGGCTTCTGCCCTGGCATTCCCATGACTTTAAAACCACTTCCAGTTGTCTAATGGCCAGGAGGAACAACACATTCTCCCCATCCCTCTGACTTTGGTTCACAGCAATTGACTCTTAGTTTCAACATCTCATCACTTCTCTTTTTCTCCTTACCAAGCAGTGAAAGCCTAGCCACTCATTGGAGAGAGGAAGAGGCTGATGACCTGGAGGGACTGCCCTGGAGTGTAGTGTCCATTAAGCTCATAGAAACACCATACGTTTTGAGCACTTTGTCTTCCTGGACAAAGAAATGGATTGGGTGTGTCTTTCTTTACACTTGTACAAGCATGACTGAGTAGTAATCTGCATCACTGGGGGAAAAAATATACTGATGAGGCCACAGTTACCATGAAGAATTAGTAGTCAAGGGGCAGCTAGGTGGCGCAATGAATAGAGCTCTGGCCTTGGAGTCAGGAGAACCCGAGTTCAAATCCAGCCTCAGACACTTAACACTTATTAGCTGTGTGACTCTGAGCAAGTCACTTAACCTCAATCGCCTCACCAAGAAAAAAAAAGAATTAGTAGACAAAGGGTAAATATAATTTCTGTGTTGTACACTTGCCTAGGTCTGTTGGCAATCAAACAATTACAACTGTAAGAAAAAGGATTCACATGTAGTTCTTTGAAGTCCTCAGAAGAATGATATTATAGGAAACTCAAATATTGCTAGTTGGATTCTGCTCAGAGATCTACTAAGACTCCTCATTTTGGGAGGACAAAGGACAGAGAAGAAAGGGGAAGTCCTGGGAAACAGAAGAGATAAGGAAGTGGGGGGAAAGCATTTACCTCTATCATAATTATCTTCTTCAACTGCTTTTTCCTGAAGTTTCTGAAGCTTCAACATCAAGGATTTTATCTAGATCAATTGGAGAGAAAAAGAAAACTAAAATTATAATACTATCCAGACATTCAGTTTCTTTCTCCCCTTTTTTAAGCTGCAACAATTTAGAAACTGTGCTCTTCTCCTTTTAAAAATAACCAGATGTACATTTTTCACATGCCAACTGTAAAATGCATGAGCTTTCCCAGAAAAAAATAATAATAATGTGGAGAAAAAGTATAACTTGAGTATAAAATCCACAGAAAAAGTTAGAAAGTTATTTTAAACAAAAACATCACATTGAGGCCTTATCTGCAAAGGGAAAAAAATGCATAATGAAAAGGAATGCTAATTTCCTGACCAAATGTTCTCTGTTCTAAAAATCACATTAAAGTTATGAATGTAAACACGCCAGAGAGAGAAGAAACACAATGGCAGAGGTTCTTATGGGTACTTAAGCTGAGGCACAGAAGGTTGTCTTGAAGACGGAGTAGGAGTTCACTAGAAAACCTACATAATGTTTTTCCGGATCTTAAAAAAAAAAGTTTAATTACTTTCTATTCAACATCCAGAGACAAAATGCTAGTGATCTAAGCATTTATTGTTGGAACATTCATTTCTAATTGTCTTTTTTTCTCAATATATAGCAAAATGGTATTATGAAGGAACCAAGAAGGAGGCTTCTATGTTGGCCTTGGCTCTGTCAATGGATGGACTTGGGCTTAACACTTGACCTCTTTGTCTCTCAGGTTGTCCATCTATGAAAGGTGGCTAACACCAGCCCCACTCCACATAAATAGGTATCTTGTGAAAATAAATGATACAATGCCTATGTGTGTTCTTCAGGTCCTATTGAAACCCAAGGTATTATCATCATTGTTATGCTTACATACTTAGAAACATGTGAGAACATCTGAGGAAATTCAAATATGGAAAGGTTGGAGGATTCCCCTAATTACATAGAAAGTCATTCAGAATTACTTTTTCACTGCAAAAGCATACCACCTCTTACTCTCCCAAAAAGAATCTGTACAATAAAAGTCCACTAAAAGGAAATCTTGAGTATAATTATGCAGAGAGCAGAAAAATGAGAGGCTGCTATGAACTGTCAGGAAGCTACAGGTGGATTAGCCTCATTTTGCCCTCCTGCCATCATAAATGACAGAATGTTACATGCAAAGCCAGACTCAGTTGCTGTGCATTAGCTGTTTTTACTTACCTGTTTTTGTTTAAAAAAAAAAAAAGAGGGTTCAATTCTAAGGAGGAGGGATTATATCCAGAAATGATTGTCATATAAAAATAAAAGATATAGGCAAGTCTTTTAATTAAAAGAACGTTTACAAAAGTACTCTCTGACTTTGTAAGGTAGAGATATCAATAGAGGTTCCCCAATCATTAGTGGAAAGGAGAAAGAGGAAGGGAAGGAGAGAGCAAGAGAGAGAAAGAGAGCTCGTGTGAGAGCACAAATAGTGCCTTCTACATTTCTTTAAGATTCCACATCCCAATGGGAAAGAATTGAACTTGAGATAAAGGGCTCTTTCGCCATATCTTTATTCCTCCACTAGCCATTTCTCAGTATTTTTTTTTAACCTACACATTTCTTGAATGGAATTCCTGCCAATGGACCCCAGGAAGATATCTGTAGCCAGCAGGTGGTATAGTTGGACTCAGGGTGAAATAAGATTTAGGTCCAAATCCAGCCTCTGAGACTTAGTAGCTGTGTAATCCTGTGTTATCTACTCTAAGCTTCCTTTTCTTCATCCATAAAATATGGATAATGATATGATAGTGTGGCAACAACTTCACCGTGTTGCTTCGAAGTCTCTCAAATGAGATCATGAATGTAAAGTGCTTTGTAAACTTTCACATGCTATATCAAGGTCAACTCTTACTATCCACACACCCCCATATGATACTGGATATTACTTAATATTATATTCCCAAGATAAATAGACCTATCCAACAGGAAGAATGAGGAGGATTTAATAATTAGAAGAGACTATGGGGGGGGGGGGGAAAGTCACTGCTCTTCGCAAAAACTATTACAGTCAAAGGATGTATAAGCCACCATTCCAATCCAAAGGAATCTTATGTGCATCATTGGATAGAATAAAGGTCAAATTAGCAGGAGGAGAAGGGTGGGATGACTTTTTGTTTACTTTCTTTTGGGACGAATTCTGAATGTCAAAAAGCCTTTTCTGAGCAACTTTTTCTAAGAGAAGGGCATCGAGACACAGTAGCTTACCACTGCTGCCAGCTCTGGCAAGCATCCTGGCACCTCCGGCATTTATTTGACCAGGCTACTTGGTAGAGGCTGTAAGTGAGACAAAGACAAGTCATAAAGCAGCTCTGTCTCTCTTCCTTGTCTTTTTGCTTATGTGTTCAATAGAATCAGGCAGAGGAAGAGACAGACAACAGCTTCAAAGGACAAGAGCAGCAATGCTCATCTTGGTTCTGATCCATACTTGCTGTGTGCTAAAAATGCTTTCATTTTTCTGGGTCTCAGTTAACTCAGCGTTAAATGGGAATAGCAATAATTCATCACAAAGTTATGAAACAATAAAAGCAGATAAAGTCTTACTGTAAAGCATCCTCACAAGTAATTGCTGCACAAAGATTCATAATCAAATTTTAATAGCAAACAGACAAGAGAAGAGGATTTTCCAGTAACTTAAAAGAGTTTTGTTTTGTTTTGTTTTGTTATTTAATTGGGGGAGAAGGCAATCTGCACCTGTGATTTGATTTCCTCAAAAGAAAGAACTTCCAACAAGGAATTTCATTCCATCAATGCAGATCAATAATTTTGTAACTTAGGGTCTTAGAGAGAGTTGTCTGAGGCACTGAGGTTAAATGACTTGCCTATATATTGAGCCCAGATATTTCTGACTCTCAGCCCAGACCTTTAACCATGACTCCACATTATGTCTCTTATTTCTGTGTTTACTTTTTGTCCCTTATGAATGACTGTCCATTCCACTATAAAAGCAGAAAATCAAGATCTTGTTGGCAGAATTTGAGCATTCCTGATTCTCAAGCTTACTGACTCTCTATCCACTCTACCATTCAAACTTCCAAAAAGTCTAGTTCTAGCTCCTTTTGAGGAGGTTAAATTGTGGGCCACAAGTTATAATCTACTCATTTGAAAGTTTATATTTGAAGGGGAAGAGGTATGGTTGGGGCAGAGGAGAAATATGATCATGCATTGTGTTAACCTTACATATGTTTCTAAATAACTAAATTGAATCAAGTACTAAATTAGAGGTGAATTAAAGCAGCCTCCTAGCCCCATGGACACTGCTGTTCCAAACCAAGCCATCCCCCCACCCCTACACACAAACATTTCCCCATACCCCATCTTCAACTTTTGATACAAAATGCTAACTTAATACCACTGGTCCTGTTGCTTCTCCAAGGACCCAAATTTGCTTAAAGGCTTCACAACCTCTAGCTTATCAAAAGCTCTCGCTATTTAGAGTGATGTGATCCACATCCCAATAAGAGGATTGGAAAAGAAGGAGAAATCTGGCTGATGTCACCAGCCTTCTTTATGCCAAATCTCATAGTCTTGAGCAGAGTTGTTGCCAAGGTAAGTTTTTCATTTGGTTAGAAGGCTTAGGATTTTGTTGTTGGGCAGGAGGGATAAGAGCGGGGTAGGGAAAAGGAAGCGGAGGCTGAGGAAAGAGGTTGTCAGAAACAATGGAAATATTCTTACTTTTTTCCTCATTTTGTCAGTACTTGAACTGGCAGCAAGACTTTTTTTTAATCACTCTCCTGTCTGAAAATAGTGTTGTTGTTGTTGTTGTTGTTGTTTTAACTGGCATTTTAAGAATGGAAAATCAAGCCACATAGTCAGTTGAGATTTCATTCATTTGTATACAAATACTGGCTCCCAGATCAAACCCTTAATACCCATGTGCTCAACCCAAAAGCTTATCAAGTCAATATCTGTGGCACGCTTTGACAGTTACAAAACCAAGCCACAGTCAACATTTTCCCTCCAATGGGAAAGAGGCTTTTGGCTCCCTGACCATGGAGACCAAAGCAAGCAGGGACTGGGGCCAGGATGCTGGGGGCTGAGCTGGACAGCTAAAAGCAAAACAGGAAGGACCTTTTAGGAATATCAATAACTTCCCTCCCCTACTTTTTCCCCATTTAATAAACATTTATTAAGCATCCACTATGTACAAAACACTATTTTCAGACATTTTCACCTAATGCATGATGAGTACAGTCAGAAGAACTGAATTCAAGTTTTGACTATCACTTCCTACCAGAGTGACCATAGGAAAGTCATTTAGATTCTCTCGGCATCAGTTTCTTCATTTGTACTGCTGGAGTTGTGCTAGATCAAGGGTTTCACACTAGACTATAAACTTGTGGGGGGTTTTTTGTTTTGATAACTGTATTTAAATATTAGTTTTTAAATCCTATGTATTTTATTGTGTGCATTTAAGAACATTATTCTGAGAAGAGGTCCATAGGCCTCAACAAAATGCCAAAGAAGTCAATGACACAAAAATTGGACTATATGATTCCTAAGGTCCCTTCCAGCTTTATATCCTATTATCCAAATCCAATGCTACAGATTATGTCCATATGTGTGCACACAAAACACACACACACACACACACACATGCACTTGCTTTACTCATAAATGAAATACATAATTCTTCAAAAAGGGCAGACCCCTCATCTCACTAGCTGATTTCCCCAGTAACATTTCAATTAAGAGATATTTATTCCTAGCCTCTAAAAGATACATCAATCAACATGCTAAATCTTATGCCATCCCAAATTGCCAATAAATCATACCTACACACCTTCCTCATATTATGAAAGTAAAGTCATAGTAATATTTTCATGCAGTTCTGATCATACTTAATGGATATTCTCTACTTAATTAACTCAAATGGGGCTTCCTATTGCCTCTAGGACCAAATATAAACAACTTTGGCTTTGAAAGCCCTACACAACCTGACCTCAATTTACTTTTTGAGGCCTTAGTATACATTCTATATACAGTAGACATTAGACAT